ACGGCAAACTCTCCTCGTCACTTTTTGCAAAACAGAGCGAGAGGCTGTCAGAACTTCTTTGTAAGCACACACACACGCGTCCAGAAAGTCACATGTGTAAGTATAGACGCATAGTTACATACCATACTTGCTGGCAAAACCCACCTCTGCAGTTATCAGAAGGCTTGACTAAAGTACATGCTTGGCAGCTCGACCATCGCGTCCGACGACGTCCACCGTGTGCTCCACAGCAAGGTGAAACAGGCACGGTGACTTGCGGGTGATTTAGTTTACAGTGGGAGTAGACTTGCGGTACGTCTACCGCACTCTCCCCTGCCAACCTGTTCCCGGTGCAAGACATAATCAGAAAAACCGGAGGTGAGGGAGGACGCATGTGGCAGGCACGACCTAACCAGTACCTAGACCTATCACCACACACACACACACGACAGTTCGACCGTCGATTTCGACGATGTCCACCGTGTGCCCCACAGCTGCAGCAGCCGTGGGAGCAGGGACGGTGACTTGCGCAGGGGTTTATAGTGCCGGTAGACTTGCGCTGCATCTACCTACACTCTCTCCTCCTCACCGCCTGGGCCCGGTGTCAAGACAGAGTCAAGAAGACCGGAGACGGGGGAGGCCGCAGGTGGATGGCTCGGACGGGTCTTCGCCTTGGCGCTCCACTCCGCACCCCTGGTCCACACACCAAGACCAGGATTTCAACCAACACAACAGAGATTTGGAGGCTGGCACGGCCGAAGCCCCGCCTAGGCGTGCCGCCAACGCCTGGCTCGGATCCCACGCTGTGGTGGGAATGCCATAAAGGCAACATTAAAAAGGAGCCATTGCAGCCTGACTCTCAGACCGCCTCCCGTTAAGGAGGAGGTCCAAGGTACCCCGTCAGTTGGCAACCTTCCAAGCCACGGCTTTTAGCACACCGTGATAGCTTCAGGCGCGTCAGATTGATTATAGTGAGGAAAATGCGCTGAGTCGTCGACCTCACTCTCCCTTCCCATTCCCACACCCCAGCCACTGTCCGAGCCGGTCAGTAGACTGGAGTGGGGAATGGGCGCGGTGGCTGACATGGTCGACTGACCATGCCTGCGCGCGCCACAGCACGACCTGGCCCCCCATACACACACAACACCAGGATTTCACACAACGGGGGTAGAACGGCGTGTCTCCCACTTGCGTGAGAGGGCCGTGGAAGGTGCTGCTTCCGCCCGTCCCCAGCCCACCAGTCCGCCACTACACACAACACACACACAACGTGACGAACTGCGTGAACCGAGAGCGGGCCTCAATCAGCAACCTTCCTATCCACGACGCTTGACGTGTCGGGATAGTCTCGAACACAAGTCACCCATGCAGCCAAAGCCGCATGGGGACCGAGTCGAGATGCACACTTCCCACTTGCGTGGGAGGCGGCAGTTGAGTGCATGAGGTGTGTGGGGGTTGATGTTTGATGGAGTGATGGTGTTAGGAGGTAGGGAGTGAGGGAATGTGTGGTGTGAGCAGCGGTTGTCTACCGCAGGTCGTCGTGGATGCGCATGTGGCCGAATAGACCCATGCGATGGGTGAAGGTGCGAGGGCAGTGTGGGCAGTGGAGGCGAGTGCGGTGGGTGTAGGTTGGTGCTCCAGGCACTGGTTCGCCAGTCTCTGTGCGATGGATTCGCAAGTGACCCACCAGGCCGATGCGTGAGGTGAAGGTGCGTGGACAATGTGGGCATGAGAGGTCAGCAGTGTCGGTGCCAGCTGTAGAGGAAGCGGTGGTGTTGGTGGTGGTGGTCGGCGCGTGTGACGGTGGAGCGAGGGTGCGTCTGGGCATGGTGGATATGTTGGATGTCGTGGCTGTATCGGAATTGTGGTCAATTCCGCTCTCGTGGATGCGCATGTGGCCGAATAGACCCATGCGATGCCTGAAGATGCGAGGGCAGTGTGGGCAGTGGAGGCGAGTGCGGTGAGTGTAGGTTGGTGCTCCAGGCACTGGTTCGCCAGTCCCTGTGCGATGGATTCGCAAGTGACCGACCAGGCCGATGCGTGAAGTGAAGGTGCGATCGCAGTGAGGGCAGATGTAGTCCTGGCCCTCACGTCTGATGATTAAGGTTGCAGGGGTTGTGCCTGTTGTTGTGCCAGGTTCGGCTGTGGTGAAGTCGTGGGCGACAGGCGCCGAAGCGGCCGTCGTTGTGGCAGTGATGGAGGAAGAGGAGGAAGGGGAGGAGTGGGAGGTGGTAAGGTCGGTGGCGTCGATGTCGGTTGGGGAGTGGTTAGTGGGTGCACAAGGTGGTGGATTGGGAGTGGGGCTTGGCGGGGTGGGTGTGTCAAGGCTGCGGTCAATTCCGCTCTCGTGGATGCGCATGTGGCCGAATAGACCCATGCGATGCCGGAAGGTGCGAGGGCATTGTGGGCAGTGGAAGCGAGTGCGATGGGTGTAGGTTGGTGCTCCAGGCACTGGTTCGCCAGTCTCTGTGCGATGGAATTGCAAGTGACCCACCAGGCCGATGTGTGAGGTGAAGGTGCGGTCACAGTGAGGACAGGTGTAATCCTGATCCCCATCACTGGAATCGGGAGAGGTGGGAGAGGTGATGTTGGTTGGTGTGTTGGTGTTGGTGATGTGTGAGACAGCAGTCTGAACGGCCACCGCTGGTGCAGTGGAGAGGGAGGAGGACGACGAGGACGAGGAGGATGGAATTGGTGGTGCAGAAGGAGTGCCAGAGTTATTTGGCGGAAGGGAGGAGGAGGAGGTGGGCGGGGGGACGATGGCTGGAGCAGTTCGAGAGGTGCAGTTGGTTCGGAGATGTCCAACAAGTCCGATTCGTGCCCGGAATGTCCGTTGACATCGAGGACACGTTGGGAGCGGTT